CCAAAGTCCAACCAAAAGTGCAAAGTCCAAACCAAAGTCCAACCAAAAGTTCAATGACCAAGCCAAAGTCCAACCAAATGTTCGAAGTCCAAGGCCAACCAAAAGTTAGAAGCCCATACCAAAGTTCAACCAAAAGTTCAAAGTCCAAGCCAAAATCCAACCAAAAGTTTTAAGTCCAAACCAAAGTCCAACCAAAAGTTAAAGCCCAAACCAAAGTCCAACCAAAAGTTAAAAGTCAAAACCAAAGTCCAACCAAAAGTTAAAAGTCCAAACCAAAGTCCCACCAAAAGTTAAAAGCCTAAGCAAAAGTCCAGCCAAAAGTTCAAAGTCCAGACCAAAGTCCAACTAATAGTTAACGGTCAAATGTCGAATGGACAAATAGATATTGCATTAGGTTAAAAGTTTTTCAAGTTTGTTTGATTATATTTTTGAAATACAATGGCTGAGGCAGAAGAAAAGGAGACAGAGTTTTAGTAGGAGAGGCAGAGTAAACGAAAGGCTTGTGTATGAGTGTGTGAACTTTTAGGCTTTAGCTAACGCCTGAGCAAAGCTTCAGCTAAGCTTTAGTTAACTTTAGCTGCTGCAGCCAGAAAGCTTTAGCTTTAGCTAAGCCCTGGCTACCATGATAGCTTTGAGCTTACAGTAGCTACGGCTAAAGCTTAGCGAAAGCTAAAGCCTGAGCCAACCTTTGGCTAACGCTTTAGCTAAAGCGTTGAGTTTAGCTGACGCAGTAGCTAACGCCTAAGCCTAAGCAAAGCTTTAGGTAAGCTTTAGTTGCAGCCTAGCTGAGCCTTAGCTGCTGCAGCCGGCAAACCCTAAACCCAAGCCCTGAACCCAAAACGCCACGCAGCCCAGTCACCAAGCGACAGCGAGCTTGTGCGCTCAGGCTGGGAGACGCCTAGCTGTTGAGCCAAGGTTCGTCTGTTGGGGAAGGCAGTTTTCCAGTCTCTTCTCTCCAGTCCCTGACCCCAGTCCTTAGCGTTTCACCAGTTCCTTCCACCCAGCCTCCCTTCCCCCAAGCAGCAGTCACCTGCTCAGTTTCTTTCTCCTTGGGTCCGTTCTTCTTTGCGCTTGCCTTGTGGTGGGGAAGGCAGGTTTCCAGTCTCCTCTCTTTAGTCCCTGGCCCCAGTTTTCTTTGCCAGCATTTCACAACCTTCCCTCAATCCCTTGCCACCAGTCCACCTTCAGGATTTTAATGGCCCTTGAGTTCGCCTTCTTGTTGGCCATTGTTTTCGAGCTGATCCACTCGTCGCATCTTTTTAGGTTTCTTCTTGAGAACCCCACTGGAAAATTAAAGCGTCTAGCGAACATCTGAAGAAGTTCAAAAGACCAAGCAAAAAAGTCCAATGAAAGCTCAGCAGCCCAAGCAAAAGTCCAACGAAAGCTCAACAGTCCAAGCAAAAGTCCAATGAAAGCTTAAAGGCCCAAGCAGAAACCCATTGAAAGCTCAACAGTCCAAGCAGAAGCCCAATGAAAGCTCAACTGTCCAAGCAAAAGTCCAATGAAAGCTCAAC